TTCGAGTTATCCTATGAGACAAGTCGACTTACCCTATAGGATAAGTCAAAATACTAAGTGAACAAGTATAAATGTCTTAATTGAAAGTAGTAACTAATGCTATAGGATAAGTTGACTTGTCTCATAGTATAACCCGAATTCTTTGCAAAATGGAATGTCTCGATAGCAAGTTATATCTGTTTTAATTTATAAAAAATTCTGTACTAGTTTTTTTTTCAATTATTGACATATTTTTAAGAGTAATTTAATACAACAAGATGTGTTCCAATTCATGTAACCAATCAGATTAACCATGTGTGCCTCTATAATGGTGTCCATATTTTCCCTTAAACGGTTGTTTCCCTTCCCTTAAACGGTGACTACATTGGACCCAAAACTATTTTATTGGCTCCTTTTCTGTCGCTAGAAGTCAATCAATAAGCATCTGTGATGACTAAATACCTTCCTTGTTCTACTTCGTTTCGTCTTTATGCTTTCAGTTTATATTATTTTTTTCTATTGATAAGTGTTCTATTAGTTAAAGTGTTCTATTATATTGATGATCAAGGTCCACCTTATTTAACAAAATTAAATGTAACTGGTTTACCGCGTTTAAAAGATTTAAAAAATGCTCTTGAACGTACTTGTTCAAAATATAAATTTTTTCGTTGTTACAAATGATCAATCTATTGGAAAAGTTAAAGAAGAAATTATTAATGATGAAGAAATTTTACCATTTGATACACAAGATCGTATTCTTGCTTATCTTGTTTCCCTTGAAGGTAGCACAACATCAAGTGGCCGTGGTGGTGGAGGAGAAGGAAATAAACAATCCAAACATCTTCATCATCATCAAGATGATACAATATTAACATTAACAATAAATAGTTCATTTAATACTCAATAACCACGTTTACAACGTATGAGTCGACGTTATGCATCAGCAAATAGTACTGATTATCAAAAATATTTTGCTAAGCAACGAGCTGGAATTGAAGTTATATCATTTCCAAGTAATGACTTGGAATCAACAACGTTCTTAGATGAAACGGAAGATGATCGGTTAGTACAATTTTTTCTCAATATGCAATAGTGAATAATGACCGATGGTGTTTTTCGGCGTCTGCATTATAAGCGTTATTTCAATAACTGTATTATAAGTAGAATTTTATATGCAACTAGGCTCATCTAGCGAGAACTGCGAATTATTCGAAAAAATCAAAACTTACTAGCAGCTAATGTCGGTGTAGGACTTCGAGGTACTCGATTAAAAATTGAATAAGTCGGGAACGCATGTTTAAAAAAAAATCAAGGTTTAAGTGGTAAGATACAATAGGAGTGATTGTGGAATCACTGAAAGGATAAACCCGTTATTAAATGAAATCTGATCAGATGGAGCTGAAACTTTCAGCATATATAGCCCAACTGTAGCCTTATCTATTTTAAAAATACTGTCGATAAATCTTGTAATGACAAGGAATCATGAGCCAATCATCATCGGATCCTACATAAGGCTTTCATTCACTCAGTATATGAGCAAATGGGCTCAATCTTTGAGTGAATAAATACCATAATCTAGACTTTATATCTGTGCAAGAATATCAGACCTTGGTCATATGAACGAGAATAGATGGTGAAAATATTACTAAATTCTGTATTCCTCTTGAGAAAGTTCAAAAGATTTATTATAAAATATGTATTGTATGAAAATCATTTCTTCATTGAATTTTCGCTGTTTCCGTACATTTGTACAATCAAACTCTGATATTATTGCATAGATATGAAGTCTAGATTATGGTATTTATTTACTTAAAGATTGAGCCCATTTGCTCATATATTGAGTGATTGAGAGCCTTATGTAGGATCCGATGATGATTGACTCACGCTTCCTTGTCATTATAAGATTTATCGACAATATTTTTAAGGTAGATAAGGCTACAGTTGGACTATATATGCTGAAAGTTTCAGCTCCATCTGATCAGATCTCATTCAATAACGAACCTATCCTTTCAGTGATTCCACAATCACTCCTATTGTATCTTAATACCTAAACCTCGATTTTTAAAAAAAATATGCGCCCCCTATATGTCTCTATGAATTCTCGAAAACCGCAGGTCGCTAGCTACTTGCGTTCCTGACTTATTCAATTTTTAACCGAGTACATCTAAGTCCTGCGCCGACATTAGTTTCCTTCTGTTATACTCATAGACCTTTTTAATATGATCTTTTTCAAAATCTTATTTATCTTAGATATTCAACGGTTACTGATTCAACAACAATTTCATCACGATATCATAGTAGAAATCGACCTCGTGGCAGAATACATCAATTACAATCAGGACTTGATCGAGTACTATTCTCTATTCGTTTCTTCTAATTTTTTTATTTAATAAATTCAGGCATCACCCACCATTCAGCAGTCTAAATTCAGACTCAACAATGACATCAAATATTATCACAGTAACACTTAATTTAGGTATGTATTTGTTTTATCATTCATTGTGTAAACTAACAGAATGTTTTTATCAGACGCAGTTAACTTTTTGGGTGTTACTATTGTTGATCAAATCGATGAAACAGATTCAAGTGATGGAAGACTTTATGTTAAATCCATAATGAAAGGGTAAAACTCTATGAAACTAAAAGTAAACAAAATAAATCTTGGTGTTTCAGAGGTGCAGTTGCACAAGATGGTCGCATTGCACCAGGCGATATGATTCTTCAAGTAAATGATATTAATCTTAAAGAATTATTACATGATGATGTTACTGAAATTCTACGTGAAGCTGTCCAAAAACTTGGGTGTATCTAATTAACTAGTCTTCAATATTCTCTAATCTATTTTTTTTAGCACTTGGATATTTACATCGTTATGTTGGTAGAATGAGTATAGGACAATATTTAAATTTATCTCTATCCATACTTCGTGCATTAAAATTATTGTCACGAATTACAGAAAGAAAATGAAGACTAAAATTCCTGACATTTTCCCCTTCTTTTCATGCATTGTGTTTCGTTACAGCCAACATTATCTTATTACATATGTATAATCACTTGGTTAAACTATATATGATGAAATTGATTGATCAACACGATTATTTGATGATGATTATATAGTAAATCAAACAATACAACGAACATTTAAAGAACAAGTAAGAAATGTAATGAAACAATGATTTTATTGTAAAACAAAAAATGATTGATCATTATTATTGAAAAGCTTAGAATTTCTGGTGATATTGACTAATAATAGTATGATTAATATTTGTATTTAATTCACTAAATGTTTATTCATATGTATAATAAATAATAATTTTTTTTTCTTGTATGAAAAATATTTATGATGATTTATCTTGTTTTAATTTACTATTTGGTATGAGAACTCGTTATCGTGCTCTTTTTATTGAAATAAATTAAGTAAATAACTGAAGCTAGTAATGATATATTAATATATAGTTATCGAGTTTAGTAGATTGAAAAAAAATCAGAAACATCAGTTGATCTGCAGGCCAGAAAAAAAATAGTCTATTCGCAAGATTCATTAGAACGATGGTTTTTCTTGATTTAGAAGAATACAAAAATCTCTTTAACAGAATGCTCATTACAAACAGATTGTGAACATTTATAACATTGATTTAGGGTTCTTTTGTCTTTTAAACGATCATAATTTAAATATGATTTCCTCTGCATTTTCTCCATCATAGGATAACAAACAAGAGCTAATGCATTTGGCATATCTTTGTGTAAAAATTTCGAGGTTTTCGAACGTAAATCAAGATGATGAGTGGTTAAACTTGTTATTAATTTTAAGCAACGTTTATGTTTTTTACTCTTACTTCAATTGACATTTTTCTTCTTCCATACTATTAGGGCATTTCGAACAGCAATAAGTCATTGCATTACTTATCAATAACCTTTCACCTTCGTATAATTTTGCTAGCTGATCAAGACAAACATTCATAATTGACATAAAAAAATGACAATGAATCTTTTTAATAATCGACTTCAAATTTTAAATAACGAAAAACGCAAGTATTTTCTGAAACTGAAATATTCCAAAATATTTTCATTAAATTTGTTTTTCCTGCAATGGAATCAAAAATCACTCCGATTAATAGCACTATAGTTAAAAAAAGAGAGTAAATATTTCCGGTAGAGTTAACTTTGTTCTTCCTAAAATACTCATTGTTAGCGCGAGATTCAATGTGCATATATCCTGTGATTGAGACAGTACAATAATGACAATTACTTGTATCAAATGAGAAATGATTTGCTATTGAATATTTTTTAATGCATATAAATTTCAAGAGTACTCCATCAACATTCGGAAATAAAAGTTGATTACTCGAATTTGTGTGTTACATACTTCTTTTAGTAATTGCTGCATGTATATATCAAGAAAAAAATCATACAATTCTTTTTGATTAAAGTAAAAACTAATCAATTTATATAGGTGTAGTAGTATCAAATGAATTGAAACTATCACGTACTCGTTGATTTCGAAATGAATCTTGTTTATTTTTAACTCCTATAACTTCATGAACGGAAGAACTATGTTGTGAATTAACAGCAATTGATTTTGCTTTCGACTGTATGGATGTCATTTCTGGTTCTAAATGTCGTCGTAATTGTTTATAATAAAGTGCACGCATAGTTTCAATGCCAGTACGTTCTTCAGACTAAACATTCATCAAGATAATTTAGTTCGGAATCGAATCCAATAACTCTTGCTGTTTGTATTAGTCTTGTTACTAAAACTCGTGTACCAACAGGTATTTCTTTTGAATAATTTGATTGTTGTGCTAAAAGTTCTTTTCGTGAGAAATTGATTGTTCAACAATTAACATTATTTTTGCCCACTGTCGAAGCCATTCTTTTTTTCGTTCATTTACCATAGCATATGTATTACCCATCACTAAATAACATTAATTAATCAAAGAAAAAAAAAACAAATATTTTTAACATACAAGCAATAAGCATATTAATAAGAGGTACTGGAACTGTGACGATATAAGTGCCAAATCACATCTAAAGTATCATCAAATATTGAAGAAGATGAAGTTGTTGTGAAATGTTACCTTTTTAAACTAACAATTCCTAGTAAAGTTAAATCATATCCAGGGACAGCGTAAAGAAGCCAAAGCAAGGTGTAATTTCGAAAATGGGAGAAGATAAAAATTTCTCAGGATTTGGTCACTTTCTCCGAAATTCGCAGACAATTTGAGGTTATTTTTTCTTAAAATCGAAGGGAATTTCAGATCATTTTCTTCCAAAATCGAAGAAAATTTGAGTTCAAGGTCACTCTCTCTCAAATGTGAGCGTACTTTCTCCTAAATTCGGAGAATGTTGTCGTCGATCTTGTCAAAGCAGGAGAAGAATACTCTCCCAGTCGCACCATCCGTGGTCATACCTTTGGATTTTGAAACACTTTCATATGTTCAAAACAATAATGGCCATGGCGGTGCACCAAGGACATTTTTCTTTAGAAATTAGCGTGGCGCGAAAGATGTTTAAAAAAATACCATCATATTAGCGGCAGCTTCTTTTTATAAGACATTGCAAACTTCATGAATTTGGGTGTCAATAAGTGTAACACTCAGAGACGTTCAAACTCTAAAGCGTTACACTTTGCATATTCTACATTGAAACTCTCTTTCTATTTACTTTTCCAATGATTTGAATAGCAAATATTGAATGTCGATGAAGATTTTCATAAGCACCGGTAACTTGTTGAAGTGTCACATAAAAGATATGAAAAAATGTTTCAATAACAGGAGCAAAATCATTATCGCAATCAATTCGAACAAATAAAACATGCAATGCTTGTATAAAACCAAACATAAAAACAAGAAATATTAAACAAAAATGTAATAAATCACTACGAATCATTGTATATATCATTACCACAAAGGGATCTGTTGAACGGAAGCCACTTTGAAAAAAAAAATAGGGAAAGAATTAATTATCATTAATAGACAGAACATTTTCTCATTTTAATTGGCACAAAAAACAAAGAAATAAGGTGCACGAGGAAGTGTTGCAAATACACAAAGAACGTCATCAATAATAATTAAACAAGTAAATCGAGCTGGTAACATTGTCAATGTTAATATATAAGAAAAAAGAAATAATACTATAGTTGGATCATTAACAGAAATAAATAAATCTAGTTTAAAATTTGGATAAGAAAATTCTTGTATTGTAAGGTTAAATAGATCAATGCACCAAGAACACTTAAACCATCAAAAATATTAAGAATCTAAAAAACAAATCTTTCCTATTGTTTTTTTTTCTATCATTCTGATTTTTCTTACTAAAGCCATGGGTTCAAATGTTCGTTTTCTATTTTCGTCATCATTATTATTTATTATTATTCTCAAACTATGATTAGTGATTACTGTCTGATTTTCATCATCATTATGAAATAGTTTATGTCATAAAAAATTTGTATAATGACATTTATATTCAATTCGATTAGCAATTATTGATTTCATTATATTCTCTTCTTTATTAATTACTTTATGTGTAATACATGATGGTGGCACATGATAATAACCACGAATCAATAATCCAAATAAACATATACCAAAATAAATTGTAAATATAGCCATACATTGAAAAAATCTATTGAATGAGTAGATTCACTTTCAATAGAAAATAGAGTAAATAACTTTACTTGAATTTGATGAATGTACGCCATTTTTCATTTAATAACTTTACAATTTGGTTTCGATACTGATCAATTTCCGATGAATTTAGATGATTGTGCTTTTATTATGAAAACAATTATTACTCAAGGTGGACTTGCTCCTGGTGGTTTAAAGTATGTAATTCGTTTTTTCTTTCAAAGCAGTATATAAATTCTTATTAGAGTTCTCAGTTAGGAATAGGGGTGACTTCTCTTCTACTTAAAATGTCCTACTTTCTGCCAATTTTTCACAGCCTTGTGGTAAACTAGATTTTGAAATACCATTTATCTTTCTCTTGAAAACAATGAAGTAAAGATAAGCAGATCATGTCGTTATGGGGTAAAACAATAGGAAACTAGATCATTCAGTAAGAAAGAATGAACGAAAGGTTCTCACTAGGTAAATCTACCTAAAAAAATTGCTTTGGATATTTGACCATACTTGTCCGAGATAATTAAATCTTCTGTCCCAGTTGTTTACGCTCTTTCTAACCATACACTTTTTATTATGTCTTCACCAGGCCTTAACTTTTAAACGGTTTAATATAAGTACCATTTTCAAGGTTTATATGTGACAGAAAAAAGCGTATTTGATGAAAATAGTACCTTTAAATTATTCAGATATTTGTTCACAGCTGGGCAGAGTGAAGTTGTATAGAATTTCTGAATATACATATAAAATAAAAATCAAATTCTTATTCTAATTAATTCATTTTGATTCTCTTCAATTGCAACTAGACATTCAAAATATAAGTAAATACATATGCGAAGCCTATCAAGTTTATAATTTGTATACACATCAATTTAGATCCTTCTAAATTTTATTGCTTAATACAACAATTTAAATCAAAAAGAACTCTGAACATATAGACAGACAAAGTATGTAATATTCAATCTTGTTGAGTACTTTTATATTCTCTGTAATAGCTTGTAAGTGACTGAAAATAAAATGGCTATGTTGTGAATAAACTTTAAACACATAGATTAAAAAATCATCATTAACCCAATTAATAGGACTCAAAGAAATTCGACACAATAGACTTTATATTGTTTACAAGAGTAAAAGATTATATTTTTGGTAATGCGTTGATTTATTAATTGGAAATTTTATTAGGAAAACTCTTTTGAATCAAAATATAGTATTTGTTCAATTTCGAATTTAGATAATAAAAAAGAAACAGGAGCATTTGCTAGTTTTTGTTCATTTATAATAAACGAAACACTATTTTATTTTTAATATAATTCGACCAAAAAAAAATTGCCAGAAGTTGGATTTTATATATTTCCTTTTTAATATCTTATCATTCGTGATATAACTGGAATCATATCATATTAAAATTGATATAATGGTAATATTTTTACATTCGCTTTTTATTTCATTCAAATAGAAAGATGCAAGCATGTTTCCTTGATACACGATATAGAACGCCCTCTTTCTTATTTTAGAGGCCATACGTAATTTTTAATACAATGGTGATTTTGTGTATGTACGTCGAAGTGTATGTAGCTTATCTCAACCAATAATTTGTTTATTTGGCGGATTGAAGTCCTTCTTTTATCTAAATTATCTTTCGAAGCAAAAAAAATAAGTGTTGTTTCTTTTTGCGAGCAAATATATTAAATATTATGCTAGTTGTGTAGCATGAAGAGAGAGATATCTAACTTACAATACAAATATTTTAAATATATTTTATTACAAAAGAACTATTCTATAAAGGCATATGAAATTTGTCATTGTAGATATTTTCATAGACATAAACTATTCTATTCAGGTCAGTTTCTAATAATTAAATATAAATATACAATAAAAAATGTGAATATAAGATTGTACTTCGCAATATTAATCTTTATCTTATATCTATGAGTAGATAATAATCAATACTGCATAGTATCAAAGTTTCGAGAGTAGCAGAAGCAAGGCATATTATAAATACGAAATCAAAGACTTAATTATACATAATTATCTTTAGTTACGTTCACGTATAATAATTAGATTTTATCAAAACATTCAACTCGTAGTACGTGATAAAATGTTGAATTTAGATATAAATTTTCAATGAATAATGATGTGTGTGAATACCCCAGGGCTTTTTTTTGTTGTGGCTGCTTTCTTAATAGAAACAATTTGAAAACTTTTTTGAACATGCATAATTTGAAAATTCTATTTTTCTAGCAAATTCATTATATATTGATAAAGAAAGGTATGTCATTCGTTTTGAATGTTGACTCCGAACAAAAGAAAAACGATTGACTATAATCATGCTTGACAAAGATATGTTGTTTGTACGAATATTCTATTGAAATTATTCATTAACCCTTTCAATCTCGGCGGCTCCTTAAGGAGCCACCTGTGTTTTCTTTTCAACATTAATGTATACAATTAAACTGATTTCACAGCGCAATAGACGTGAACAATACCTTCAACTTGATATATCACATTAATATTTTTTATATTCACACATCCCTCCTCCCACGGTCTCCTTTTCTTTAAAAAGGAACTTAAAATAAAATAAAATAAAAAATTTAAAAAGCCTCTTCAATTTTTCGAAAACAAAACCAGCACTGAAAGAGTTAAAAATAACGATAAATATCATCCATAAACTAATTCAGTTAAATAAAAAAAAAGTCTGTTTGGCAACTAAGAAAAAAATCTAATAATAGTAACTGATCATTATCTTAGCACGACTAACACAATTCTAGAGTATATATATATAACATGTTTTGTACTGTGTTCTTCGCTTATTGTTGAGTTTAGATAATTATATTTGATCTGTATCTCTTTTCTTCTCAACAAAGGTAATTTTATCATAAAGCAACAGAATCATATGACAATAATTTTTACATACGCATCCATACAAATGTACTTCTATGTGTTTTTTTTTATTCTTATTTTTTTTCTAAACTCTTGCAAATTTACAGATATAGAATTTCTTTTTTTTCCTCTGTCATTTTGTTGTTATTTTTTTTTTCGAGCATGTATTTCACTACTTACTCGTCATATTCAGTTTTCATTGTAGATAAGAATGAATGAAGATGCATATACTTCTTACTCTTTCTTTTTGTAGATGTCCCGTGTAGAATAACACTATTTTAATTCGTACTTTGTTTTTTTTTCTAAATACTACATTTAAGTTTTTCTAATGGATGTTCAAGTTCCACCTCCACCACCACCTCCTCCGCCATCATTTCTTACTGAAACGACAACTTCGCAATTAACAGTACCACCACCATCACTCCCTCCTCCAGAATCAGTCATTACAACAACAACAACAACCACAACCGTAGCTGCTTCTTCTGTTCAAGATCGTATTTGGTTACATCCATGGACGGTAACTGAAATGCGTGAACACGCATCACAATGGTCATTGGCTGGTGATGCTGGTGTATGTAAAGAAATTTTTTTTTAATTTTTTTGAAATAAATAAGCATAATCTTCTCGTTGATTGTCTAGTTATTACTTTATTTGGAACAATTTTCTGGTAAATTAGCTCAACGGGCTGATGCTATTCAACAACATTTAAATCAAACAGTTAATGCTGTTAAAGTATATAAAATATAATTATATATCAATAAATAAGTTAGTTAATGTTTTCTTTTTCATTTATTTTAGAGTACACATACACGTGTTCAAAATTGTCTTAATGAATTTACATCATTAGCTAATACACAATTTATTGAAAATGTAAGATAAAGAATAAATAATAATAATTTTATTTCATATTAAATTAATTATAAATTTATTCGTTTTTTTGTTTAGCGTGTTTATGATGAAGATGAAACAGTTAATGCAAAAACATCAAAAAAAGATGAACAATCTACAGTAAGTAAGATGTTCATTAATAAATAATATATACATCTATTAAAAGTATAGATAATCTAAGATAGAGATGTTAGAAATTCTTCATACACGATGTTAAATATTTATTGAGTTTTCAATGATTTTTTTTTCTCATAAGCTAAATGTTTATTGAAACATATTCTCATTTTTATAATTTGACAAAATAATTTTTATTCTTTAGGAAAAAACTAATGTTAGTAATAGTGAAGCACAAGAAAAAGTTTTACAACGTTATGTTGAAGCAATTCAATATGGTTTAACTATTCTTGATACACATTTTGAACGTGTTGATGCTAAATTAGATAATATTCAAAATGGTATATCATCAATTGATGATGATGAAGATGTTGGAGTACCAATTGAACCTATACTTGAACCAAAAGATCCTTATATATTTCGACCATTACCATATCTTATTGGTACAACTGAATTTATGCAAGATGATTTTGTTGGTTTAGCTGATTTATTAAATATACATGATGAAGATACATATGATGTTGAACAAATTGAAAAAATTGAGTCAGATTCAGTAAATTTCGTTTATTTTGAATTTATTATTATTATTATTGTGATGAAATAATCTTTTATTTTCATAGGCATTATCAAGTTCTGATCAAGAAGATGAAGATTTTGTAAAGATTTTTGTTTTATGGTTTTATATATTTTTATATTTTGTTTGTTTTTTTTTAGCAAGTCCAAGTATCATCAGTACCAATTGTTCCAGCTGGTGCTAGTCGTCCAGGTTTTAATAGAAATTTCAAAAATATTATTATTCTATTTTTTTCTAATGTCAATCTGTAGATATAGCAAACCGATCAGCAACAACTGTATTAACAGATAGTGAAGATGAAAATGATCTATTTGGTATGAATACTGGTCCGAAATTTGATGATTTTTCATCAAAAAAACCAGTGTATAATGATATATCTGAGGAACCTACAAAATCTAAAAAAGTAGATTCTTTTCACGGTTAGTAAAAAAAAACAAAATTTATTTTTCCTATCATCTATTTGTTTGAATATCTTTTTTTTTTTTTTTTTATAAAGAATTAGATAATGAAGACGATATTATGTTTGGTATTCCAGTTAAGAAACCTCAACCTATTATTGAAACTAATAATAATAATAATAATGAGAATTTTGATAATGAATCATTAACATCAAAAGAATCGAATGAACCTGAAGAACAACAAAAACATATAGGTGGTATATCAATGTTCGGTAGTGCACAAAAAGGAATGTCTGAACTTGAAAAAGCTGTTTTACGACGACGAAAAGCTATGGGTGAACCTGATGTATCATCAATTGATGAAGATGATGAAATAAAAAAACCGAAAAAAACATCAAATGAAACTATGTAAATGTTTGTTTTATTAATTAATTAGTTAATTCTTTTTTTTTCTTATAAATTAGTTCACCAATTGTTACTAAAATACCAACAGAACGATCATCTAGTACAATGTAAGCATTCGAAAATTAAAAATCAAAATCAAACATAGACTTTTTGTTTTTAAATATAATTTAGTTCAAATCTTACTTCACAACCATTAACAAAACCAACAACAACAACAACAACTGAAAAGGTAAAACACATTGAACTTCTCTATACCGGAAACAAGAGATGTGCAAGATTAGGTAATAATTAGAAACTATTTCTCACGAGAGAACTTCCGCAATTAGTTAATCACTTTTGAATCAAGACTATGAACATTATGTAGACTCTAATGAGCTATAAATGTCCTAAATAAAGCTCGAGTTCTTAGCTTATCGGAGCAAAGATATTGGATAATTTTTAACTCAATTTGGATAGTTCCCTCGTCAATCAGGGCGTAGAATGCAATAAAAGCTTACGCTGTAGATTCCTATCGAAAAGTGATATATCTATGACTAGTTTTTTATTAAGCTTTACTTATCAACTATTAATTGTTGTACGTTTTATTTGTTGAGTCTATTTAATAATCGTCTTTGTTTAGATTTCTAAATCATCGATATTTGGTGAAAATATTCCAGCTGATGATGAGGATGAGGATGAAATTTTTTCAGATGTACCAAAATTAAAACCATTGTCGAGTATCGTACCATCATCATCATCAAAAACTATAGTTGATACAAAATCATCAATAATAATTCCATCGAAAAAAGAAAAAGATATATTTGATAATGATACTGATGAAGATGATGATCCATTTACAATAAAAAAGAAAGATACTTCATCATCATTGTCAATAAAAAAGAATGATACAAATTCAAAAATTCAATCACAAACAATAACTAAACCTAAACCAGTTATTCCTCCAGTTGAAAGTGATGACGATGACCTTTTTGGTACAAAAAAAACACAACCAAAACCAATTCCAACAATATCAAAAACTAGTACTATTGAAAAAACTAAATCACCTAGTTCTGACGACGATCTTTTCAACACATCGACAATCACTAAAACACAACCACCACCAACAAAAATATCTGAAGATGAAGATTCTTTATTTGCTCGTAAACCCCCAGTACAACAACCAATTGCACCTATTGTTCCTGCTTCTGCTCCTGTTTCTACCCCATCAATTAAAAAGTTAGCCATCGTAACTGATGAAGATAGCGATGATGAAATCTTTGGTATATCTAAAACAAAACCAAAAGTACCAACAACTGAAAAACAAAACATTGTTTCATCTACTAAACCTGATGATAACAATAATTTACTTGGTAAATCAACAACTACATCTAAAGTAGTGACAGCAGAAACTCCAAAAGTTATTCCATCTATGAAATCTAATGATGATGATGAATTATTTGGTGCATCAAAAACTAAACCAAAAATACCCACAACCGAAGTACAAAAAGTTTCCTCACCTATTAAAACTGATGATGATGAAGATGATTTATTCGGTAAATTAACAATTAAACCTAAACTATCAACAAAAGACACTCAAAAAGTTATTCCACCTACAAAATCTAATGACAATGATAAATCATTAACTAAACCAAAAATCGCAGTTACAAAAGACGATGATGAGGATGACGAATTATTTTCTTCTCCAAAACCAAGTCAAGTTAAATCTCCTGCAGCTACTGTTTCATCTCCTTTACCTTCAACAACAACAACAACAACTGTTAAAACCGATACTTATGAAGATCCTTTAACAGGAATTCGAAAACCTATTGAAACTACATCCCAACCACCAATAAAAACTCCAATTGTTCAACCAGTAAAGAAATCTATTTCAGATAGTGATGAAGATGAATTATTTCCTAAACGACAATTAAATACAGCAGCATTAAAAGAAGGTGAAAAACCAAATGTTAAAGCACTTTCAGTAAGATAAACAAACTTATCAAAAATAACTTTTTCACAATTTTCTTTCTTCTAGTCACTTTTAAATATTAATCCAAATGCTCATCGACCAGGTGTACGTCCGAAAACACATTCATTTATTGAAGAACAATCTAAACCTTCTGTTGTTAATGATGATCAACCGAGTCAAACTATTGAACCTTCACAAACAGTTGTGAAAAAATTATCAAAACTTGATTCGGATAGTGATGATGATTTATTTAGTAATAAGAAAAAAGAAAAAGCAACTGTTTCGAATACAGAACAAAAAGATAAAACTAATGTTGAAGATGAAAAAGTTAATGTTAAAGCACTTTCGGTAAAAAAAAATTTTATTTTTTTTTGTTCTGAAAAATCTATTAATTGATATTTTAGTCACGTATTAAAATAAATCCAATGACGCATATGCCAGGTACTCAACCGAAACCAATCTCTAATGAAGAAAATGGATCAAATAATGTATTACAAACAACTTCAACGGAAACATCTAAAGAAGAACCAATAGTTGATAAAACTATGTTGAATATTCTTAAAGTAATAAACTACAACTTTAAGTTTTTCGATAATTTTTTGACTATAGAAAGGAATATACTTTTCTGTTATAAAAAAAACAATATTTTTATTTTTTTGTTTTTTGTTTTAAGGATCGAGCTAAAGTATCAGTTAAAACTCGAGCGCCACCAACAAGAAAACCTCGTTCAACTGGAGCTACAACAGCTGCAATGGCAAATGCTGATGAGGATGATCTCTTTGCTTTGCCTAGCTCGAATAAAACGGCTACATCATCTTCTTCGACTACTAGTCCAGTAATTCCTTCTCAATCTGATATTCCTCCACCAGTATCTATAACAGGTTTGCCAGATAACACTGCTGCTATTGCTGCTATATCTGATAAACAAACTAATTCAAAAGAAAAGAAAACATTTTCACTTTTTGATTCTGATGATTCTGATATTGATGAATTGTTATTTGGTTTTAGTAAAAGTATGCTCATATATTTTGAATTATTTCTTTATCTATTTATTCTTATATAGAAAATAAATCTTCTATAACATCAAAACCAACTACAACAGTAACTTGATTTTTTTTGTTTATTATTAAAAAAGAAACATATTTTTGATTTTTTTTTTGTTAGCCATCAACAACTACAAAATCAAATATTTTATCATTAGATGATGATGATGATAATGATTTTCTATCAAAACGACCAATAAAAAAGAGTACAAAACCAATTGATGATGATGATATATTTGCTGATGTTAAAATTAAATCCCAACAAACAAATAAAGCTAAAAAAGATTGGTCAATTATGAATAAAACAGTAACAGATGATACAGGTATTTTATTTTATTCTGTTTTTCTTTTATCTGAAATAAATTTTCTTATATTTATTTAGATGATATTTTTAATGATGGATCAACAAAATCTTCCACTACCTCAAAATCAAAATCAACAAATGTTAAAAATAAATCAATCAAGGATTTGGATGATATTTTTGATGATCCATTCAATGTTTCGTCCAAACGATGAACAAAAACAATAGAAAATAATAAAAGCCTAATTTTGCATTTCGATTTGTTTCTTCGTTTTTTTTTTATTCCTCGCATTTGTGCAATATATAAATAAATCCAGTTTATTTTTCACTTCGTAATCGAATATAAATTTTGATATATCAATATAAAAGAATATCTTAAATATACTCTTCTTATTTGTGTTATTCATTATTTATGAAATAGTCCTCAATAATATATCAATGAACAAAAAAAACAATATAGTTCAAGTAAATCTGTATAATTATGTATATTTTTTGCAAAGGATGGTGTCTTGATAGTTTATATAATTGAATAAGCCCAAATCACGTATAACAACCAACTAAAAGAGAATTTTCCTTCATTTATCTCGTTTTTCAACGTCAATAATACGTATGATGCTTTATTTGAATTTTCGGACACCCCTTTTGTTTCTTGTTTATCAAGATATAGGAGGTATAAGGAGGTACAGGAGATATTGATTAATTGGTACAGCTGATCATTCAATGATGTTTAAATTTAAATATCTATTCGTAAAATATATATTGCTGCTACTTGCTAAACGTTACTTGAAAAAATCAATTTCTATACCTCCTTATATCTCTTATACCTCCCATACCCCGTATATCTCCTATACCTCCTATGCCTCCTATATCTTGATAAACAGGAAACAAAAGGAGTGCGGAAATTCAAATAAAGCATCTAATCACTCCAACACATCTCGCTAACAAATTCTGATCCACTTTCGTCTTTTTTTACTCGATCCTAATTAAACAAAAATCAATAAATTATTTTCATTTCAAATTTTATTTACCGTTGTATTTGTTACCGTTTTAATCGTTCCATTATTTTGATCATTAAATTTATAACTCAACAATGATCGAGAAATTTCACGTTGATATAAAAGTACTGTATTTGTTTCGCTACCTTAAAAAATCCAAACAAAAAATTTTCTATTTACGAAAAACAACAAGCAACCACCACCGTACCACAGACAATATAACCAGATGATACAGCTAAACCAACAAAATTTTTTTCATTAACATGTCCACGATGTGTTCTTAAACATTGTTCTGCGGCAACACGCCGTAATCGTAGTTAACTATCTGTTGATGTTGAGACAATTTCTTTAAATCCTCGATTACCTTGATGAAAAGCATGTTCAACAAGCATTTCATGGCCTCAGCCAGCGCTTCTCTTAACTCCTTGATCATTATTCGGGTCGATCTGTGTCACTCTCCTTCTCCTGAAAAGATTCATCAAAGATAGAAAAATACTGTAAGGGTGTTGTTTCCACGCAGGTCCACCCACTTTTACATCGACTTTCTGCCAGCAAGATTCCACTATGTTAGTTTTGTAGCCCTCGTCGAGTTATGTAAGAATTGATATTCAGTTTTGATTCAAATCGTGCGCTAACTTCAGTAGAGCAGGCTGAAAAGTCGATTTTACCGAAAATTGGCTCCCAAAATCAGTCTGTTTTATTTTTCGTGAACATTCTTTAGAAATTTTGATTTGACCATTAGATAGAGCATAAAAAGTTGTCTATATAAAATAATTTTCAAAACTATATTTCAAGAAATCATTGTTTGGGAATATTTACAAAATTAAGAAAAATGGCACTTCATGCTAAAATTGTAATGTTTATAAAATTTATACAGTCAGCTAAAGACCCTAACATATTATGATTCAAATGAAGTTTATACTATGCTTATTCAAACGTGATATGCTGAAGTTTTTGAAAGTTTTCATTGCTTCAGATAGATGGATTCGAAGGCTCAACCGGTCTTAAAAAATCTCACATTGGACCTCGGTTTTCTCAAAAACTACACGTTAGAATTTCTTGAAATTTTTTTTCCGAATAGACCTAAGTGAACACTGCTAGTGGTTAAAATATTAGACTTCCCATTTCAGGATTGTAGGAGATGGAGCTCTTCCAAGTTAGGCCAAATTTCGATGTTTTTCAAGAAACCCCTGTGGGGGACCCCGGGTAGTCGAAATAATCGAATTTTTGAATTTTGACCCGAAACTTTGCGTATATAGAAGTCTCAGCTAGACTAGCTTGCACATAAAAATTCAGAAGTTTTGAATCAAGTCTCGTCAAGATATGAAGCTTCATCTTTAGAAAAGGACTTCTATGGCAGGAGGTCCATATCTTGGAAAAACTTTGTTCGAAACTTCTGAATTTTTATGTACAAGCTTGCCTAGTAGAGGCCTCTATGTGCGCAAAGTTTCGGGTCAAAATTCGAAAATTCGATTTTTTGACTACCTGAAGTCCACCACAGGGATCTTTTGAAAAGTACTGAAATTTAAGCTAACTTGGAAGAGCTCTATCTCCTACAATTCTGAAATGGAAAGTCTAATATTTTAAACACTAATAGAGTCCACTTAGGTCTATTCAGAAAAAAAATTTCAAGAAATTCTGACGTGTAGTTTTTGAGTAAACCGATTCCCAACATGACGATTTTTGGGACCCCATCCTCTTTAGGCCTCTTTATCTAGAGCTTAGAATACTTTGAAGAAACTTGCCATAGTGGATTTGAATGAGAATAGTATAAGCTTCATTTTGGTTATAATATATTAGGGTCTCTAACTGAATGTATAAATTTTATAAGTAGTTCAATTTTAGCATAAAGTGCCATTTTTCTCAAAGTTGCAAATGCTCCCAAACAATTAGTTTCAGAGATACAATTCTGAAAATTATTTTATATGGGCAACTTTTTATGCTCTATCCAATGGTGGAATCAAAAATTTCAAGGAACACCCATAAAGAATGAAACAGACCGATTTCGGGGGCCATTTTCTCATAAAATCGACTTTTGGAGCTGCTCTGCTGCTGTTAGCGCATAACTTGAGTCAAAATTGAATAGCGTTTTCTACACAACTCGATGAGGGCTACAAAACTAGCATGCTTAAATCTTGCTGGGAGAATGTTCTCTAAAAAGTGGGCGGAGCTGCGTAGAAGTACCCGTAATGAGCTAATCGTGCCCAACAAAGACCGAATCCGATCTTTGAAATTCAATTGTGAAGGTCAAATTGAAACAGTGTTGTCACAATGCGTATTCGACGAGTCGTTCGCCCGCCTCGAATCAATCTCGTTGTATGAGCGCAATCTGCAAGATTTACTGACAGTATTACATAAACTCCCTATACTTCCACGACTCAAAGCGTTAAAGATCAAATTGGATCTATCGATACTTCGAAATAACTCACTGGATGATATCTACTCCATAGCACTTCAATATATTCAACTCTGACCTCCTTGACTGTCGAAGATTCATCTCGAATGATTGGCGATCGATCTTTTGAACGATTAATATCTCGGCTTGAGAAAAAGATAAAACTTTGAATTTATTTTCAAGAGATGTGCTATGTAAAGGTCTACAAAAAAACTGTTTGAAAAAATTTCTACTGACCTCTTCTAATGATTTTTCGAAATTTAAAATGAACAACCCATATGATAGTATTATTTCCCACTGTATTAAGCACAATAAAAATTGTTTTAGAAGATTCTTTTTATTGTGCATATAACTCGGCATAGGCAAATAATATAATCTTGATTCTTTTAGTAAAAGATGCGTTGTCGAAAGTTCTACAAAAATGGTAATAACAAATCCATATTGTAAAATAAAAACATGTTCCAAATATTTTTTTTATCATGTTCAATACAGTGAAAAGTAGCACTATCATGTAAGTTGTTTAATTTGAGTATGAAAAAGACCATAGCCATAAACCAATAGAGATTTGTTATTAGCCATTTTTGTAGAGCTTTCAACGGCGCATCTTTTAAAAAAAGTTCAAGATTTTATCATTTATCTAGGTCAAGATACATGCAAAATAAAAGATGTTGCAAACATTTTGGCACACTCAGGTACTCATATTTTAATATGAATGTCATGTGGTGCCATCTTTTGAATCGAATAAAAATCAAATATTAAAATCACCATAAAACTAGAACATGATTCTCATAACATTTAATAAGTATGTGATAAATTATTTTTTTGTTCATTTTTTTCTTGATGTCGAATTAACATACCAATCATAAACTAGAATATATTCCTTCGTTTTTTTTTTGTTGCATTGGTTTTTTATTTATTTGTAATTTGGACTTGACACTTTACTAAAACAATATGGCATCTCTTCTTAAGTAAAAAAATAGAAATTTCAAACAATCAAAAAAAAAGTATCTAATATTAATTTTTATTGTTTAGATGGGCAACAAAATTAGCTATTGTTGGTGGTGCTACTGTACTTGTTTTTAATCGTGAAGTATTCGGTACAAATAAATATACTAAACAAATTATCAATGAAGTTCGTACATCATTACCCGATACAGCCGAAGTGTTCGATCAAATGCCAACAAAACGAGAACTTAATGATGCTATTGTAAATAGTTGGAATTCTGGTATGAGTTATTATTTTCTCAGTCATATTCTTTCTTATTTTTTTCAATCCATAATTGAATTCTTTTACAGGCGTTCAAACAACATTTAAATGGCTTGCTGATGCTCCAACACATACATGCCAATTATTTTCTTCTCTTTCTAAGAAAATTAATGGCTAAGAAAAAAAAAAAGATCGATTGTAGTCAATAATAGTTAGTGTATGCGTGTGTTGTTTTTATGGTCTTCAATATATTAGAAAAAAAAAACCTATTTTCCTTGCATTTATTTATTTTTCTTTTTTTTGGATGAGAATACTCTATCGCGTCTGCATTTGTTGATTAGATGTATATACGGGGCGCAAAATGTTGTTATTGTGTACTATATAGTCAGGGCAATGGGGTCGTACGTCGAACACAACAGAACAACAACAACATCGATACTATGCTATTCGTTGTGGTAGCCTGTTTCTTCTTTCTTCTTCGTCTTATTTTCTTTTCCTCTCTCACTCCATCATGCTATCAAAGCAACAACATCAGCTTCATGGCAACGTTCGAGCAAGAAGAGAGAGAGAGAGAGCGAGCGCGCAAGTCAAGATAAACAATATTTGTATGCGCGTACGCGAATCTGATTCTTTGTTCTCATTTGAAAATTTGATGCATCTGTTGTTTTTTTTTTTCTTTCCATTTTATATATATATATATATATATGTTTGCTTCGCCAAGCAACATACACACAAATAACAGGGATTGACCTCTGTTTCTCTCGTTTTTCTTTTTTTTTTTTATTTAAGATGAGAAAGAAAGAAAAAAAAAAGAAAGAGGTAAAAAAAAAATACTAAAGAACGGACAAACAAGCAGTCATCATCGATCTGAGAGAGAAAGATTAGTCGGAAAAACAGCCATCTGTCTGTCTCTTCATTGAACGCGCATTGAGTTTCTGTGTGTGTGTGTGTGTGTGTGTATGTGTGACTCTAAAGAAGAAGGAAAAGAAAAATAATAATAGGCTTCAATATGAAGAAGAAAAAAAATGTCTCTTACATTCAAACCAAAGCATGGTTGAACTCGTCACCGATATTGTTTTTATTTTTATTTTTTTTTTCTAGATTAGTATTGGATGAATTTTTTTGTTCTTCTTTTTCTTCTCAATATAGAATGAGAGTTACAACAAATCGAACATCAAAACTTCAAACAGCAACACGTACAAAAGCATCAACAACAACAATATTAAATGAACAAACAGGACATTTACAAAATGGTACAACTATAGTTTCACCAACATCATCAAATAATGTATGATTTAAATTGATTGATAAGATATTAATAGTTACATTCTTATTGTCTTGTTGTAGGGTACACTTCGTTTAATTGATTCAGGTGATTATTTATCAACAGCAGTTTCACCACAACAACATCAACCTGTAACAACATCAACAATGCTTCAATATTTACAACCATCTTCAAATGCAATACAAAATATGCTTATTCAACAGATATTAACAAGTCCCGAACAGGTATGTTGATCATATGATGCAACAGGTCAACATATGTATGATATATATGTATGTATATATATACATGTTGACCATCTTTCTCCCTTTTTTTTTTTCTTTTTTTTTATTATTATCAGGTAGGCAAATGTCTATGAAGCCTACTATATGTTTTTTTTTCGTACACATGCAATGAACATTAAAGTTTGATTTCTCATTTCTTTCTCTCTATCCCTTTTTGTATGTCTATTTCTTTGACGGGTCGTCGTTCGACGAACGACAAACATCGAGCGGGACGCTGGATTGTAGTGTTCGCTTGTGAGGACGGCCAAAAAACAACACATCACACATACGTATACAGAATAAGAACGACAGAGAAGAGAAGGAAAGAAAATTAATAACAGAGTAAAAAAAAAGAAAACCAAGCGAGTGGAGAAGAAGAAGAGGAAAAAAGAAACATAACCAACCAACAAAAAATAACATCAACAACAACAGCAGCACCATCTTGTATGTGTGTGTGTGCGTTTATACTATTTCATGCATACTATGGCATCTGTGACAATTATAATAAAATAGTATCGAAAGAAAAATGTGATAACTTATATCTTGATACGATTTATCACATATATATATATATACATATGTATATAATGGTTCTATTGTCTTTTATTTTATTTAGCAACGTCTTCTTGTAGAAAAAATTAATCAACAATTAAGTGAACAAATACAACTTAATCTTGTTCAACCAACAACAACATCACAACCAACAACAACAAATTCAGACATTATTAAACAAATTCAAGTAAGATTTAATGTAAAAATTTCTTTGATCTTTATCTATTCTTTTTTTGATTCTTTTATAGAATCAACTTGCTAGTCAGCAATTACTTCTTCAACAAGTTTCATCAAAACAACAACAACAACAACAACAACAACAACAACAAATTCCAAGTCTATTTAGCATTACAAATTCCAATAATACTAATCAGCCAACAACAGCTACTCTTCAATATTTAACAACTACACCTAATAATTCGTCTACTAGTGGTAAGAAAAAATTTTTCTTTTTCTCTTTTCTATTTCATTCCTATTAAAACTAATTCTCTGTATAAACAAACTTCATATATATAAGTCTATGCAGACTCTCCATCCGTGATTTCAATTGCTACACGTCCTTATCATCATCAACAACAACCAACATGTGTTAATATCACCGATTTATTAACAACAGGTCGAACTATGAGCACTGGTTCGTCATACAAAAAAAAAAAAAAATTTCGTCTAATTGAATGATTCCCTCTTTAATTTTCTGCGTGTTTGCGTCTATTTTTTTTCTATGCTTTTATCTGCACGTTTGTGTGCCTAATTTATTTTCTAACAAATTCCATACAACAAATAAAACCATTTTTCTCTTTTTTTTTTAATTTATAGGTGTAAATATTCTCGGAAATAATAATAATAGTACTGAAACACGAATAACAATGCCAACAACAACTATAAATCGTTCATCAACACTTACAAATCAACAACAACAACAAGATTCATTAAATCCTTTATATCAACGAAATTATTGTCGTTGGCCAAGTTGTGATACATTATGTTCATCATTAATTGATTTTAATCGACATCTTAATGATGAACATTCACTTGATGATCGTTCTGTTGCTCAAGCACGTGTACAACAACATGTTGTACAACAACTTGAATCATTATTAACACGTGAACGTGAAATTTTACAAGCTATGATGAAACATTTACATGGTGGTTCAATAAATACAAATGGTGCAACATCATCATCATCATCAAATACAACAACAACACATATTATAACTCAACCAACAACACGTACATTAACAACATCAACAACACCATATCATCATACATTAGCAACAAATGCACGTACAACACAATTAACATCATTATCATCACCAGCATCATCATCATCATCAATTAATAATACATCTTCTTCAACAGCAGCACTTCATCATTTACCAATAGTTAAATTAGAAAATGCTTTTTTTAACATCAACTGGTATTGTTGCAACAACAAATTCAATTGATTCATATAATCGTACAACACCACATGATCTTTCATCAAATACAAATGCAACAACATCAACAATATTACGTGCTAGTGCATCAAGTTCACCACCACCTGTTCATACAGTTGAAGAAGAAGTTGGAGATGATACACAAGATGATGATGATGATGATGATAATATGGATGATATGAATGGTGATATATCAACACAAACAGGTCATAATGGTAATATATTACCTATGATTAATATGAATAAACATCGTCTTAATCGAAAATCATCTAAAACAATGTTAGCATTAGGCGGTAAAAAACCAGGAAAAGGCAAAGGTTTTAATTTTATTGAATAACAAAATCTTTGAAAAAAGAAATTTATATATGTTTTTGTTTTGTTTTTTTTTTGTAGAATTAAAAAATCGTGAATATTATATGACACATGATGTACGTCCACCATTTACTTATGCAACATTAATTCGTCAAGTATATAGAATACAAAAAGAATAATAATTATTTATTTAAATTATTTATATTTTAGGCTATTATTGAATCTCCAGATAATCAATTGACATTAAATGAAGTATATAAATGGTTTGAAGGACAATTTTTATATTTTCGAAAGAATGCACAAACTTGGAAGGTTTGTGCGACGTTGTTATTTTTTTTAAATAGAAAATTGAATTTCTTTTTTGGGGGGGTTTATTTATAGAACGCTGTACGACATAATCTTTCATTACATAAATGTTTTATGCGTGTAGAAAATATCAAAGGTGCCGTATGGACTGTAGATGAAAATGAATTTTGTAAAAGACGTTTAACACGTAGTACTGAAAAAGGAAGTAATCATAATGAATCATCATCATATGGGTATGAATAGAATAGTTCTATTAAGTCTTTATGCAGGATTGTTTTTTTGATATATTTTAAGACATAATACATCTACTCGTTTATCAACTGGTGATGATCAAGCACTTTATTCATATCCATTTGGTATGGAAGATGATTATAAAGATTTTAAAGTAAAAATTTTTAATATTTATTTGATACATGTATATATATATTTATTTATTTAATTTAGGGCTTATTAAATCCTCATGAATTAGCATTAAGTGGTGGTCATTCTCATGGTGGAAATGGTGATGAAGTTGATGATGATGAAGATGATGGAGATAATTCTGGTAGTGTAAATGGAAATGGTGGTGATCATCATGATCAATCTACTGATATGAATCATAGTCAATATGATCAAACTGATGATGATGATGGACAAAATGATATGAGGTATTTGCGGATTTTATTTTTCGTAGTTTTTATAGAAATATCTCGAATATATTTAGAAATCTATCATTAAAAGAGATAAAGAGAAATCGGAAAAAGGGTTAGTCCTGTATTTTTTATTTTTGCTCGTCAAGGGAAGGGAAAGAATTAATCGATATATATATATATATATATATACACATGTATCTTTGTTTAATGCATATTTTAATAATTTTGTTTTTTTGTTCTAGTTTAGCACATGGTGACGATGAACAAGTTGATGAATAAAATGTTCTCGTTGTGCAATATATGATATATATATATATATATATAAATGTTGTTGTTTTCTTTTTTTTTCATTTCCGACAGACAATGTCAGATAATCCATTTCTTCTCTTTATTCGACACACGCACATGCATAACAGTAGCACCATTTTTTTCACTTGCTTTTCATGTTGCCTTAGTTTCTATATACAATGTATATAGTTTCTTGTTTTTTTTTTTGTTTTTTCTTCTTTTGTGGTTAGTTAAAAAAGTTGAC